GTACCGGAGAAAAACCAAAAAAAAAAAAAAAAAAAAAAATACAAAATTCTTGACATCGTCAACACCCACCTCCTTGCAATAAGAAAACAAAGCTGTCACCATGTCTTTTTGCTACTACCATAGTAACTTCTAGTGTGTTCATTTTTGCTTAAGGAATTTTGAGAGGGATTAATGGTAGTGTCTTTAATATAAAATATTTTAAAGACATTTCAAACACTTACTGTAGTTAGTGATAACACCTTGTATATGTTTATGGAAAAGTGGGAAAGACTGGCAACAAGGAGCCCTATGAGGAAGGTTCCATATTAATTCAAAAGGTAAATTAAAGCACTGCACATAGAAATGGAGAGCAGGGTATAAAGAGCCATTTAGTAGGTAGAATTTGTACATATGTCCAGGCCGAGAAGGAGGGAATGCCTAAAATAATTCCCAGGTCACTGGTGTAGAAGACTAATTAGATGAATCTAGAAGGTGAATGAATGGGTGTTTTGGGTGAATTAACTTTCAGACCATGTTAATGTTAAGATACCTATTGGACATCTGATAGAGATATCCAGTAGGCACTTTGATATGAGTCTCATACCTACGAGAGCCATTAGAGCTGGAGATGTTAGAAATAAGTATGAGGAATTGGAGTAGAGGGTGATTTTGAGACATCCAACTTAAGAAACTAAATAGTATAATTAGTGATACCTCTAAACTTGACACATATTATAAGAGGAAAAACAGACTGTAAGAGGGAAGTTCAACTGAGCATTGTAAAGTGCCTTTACAATCCTGATTTCTTGATTCCTACATGGCTGTATGAGGCTGCAACTAAAGGGAAAGTACAGAACTGAAGATATGTATTATAGATTTGGAGTTTTCATTGCTCAGTTGTGGTTGGGATCTTTTGCTTGCATAAAATCTCTAGAGATGAAGATTAGATTGAAAGAAAAAAGTGAAACAGAACAAAAACCTGAGGTCTAGAAAATAATAGCCAAAACTTTGAAAGTAGGTCAAGGGAGAATAATAAACAATAGGCATGGTCTGACAAGTAGACATTTGAAAGAGGAAGGTACTTTTAAACTAAGGAAAAGTTTAGAAAAGTGGCAGAAGTGGTTATTATTTTCAAATAACACACAGAATTTCGATAGGATGAGGTTGAACAAGAGGTCTTTGGATTTTAGTTAATAAGTCATCCTTTTCATTCTAGTGATAGAAAGTGAATAAAATAATGGGGCAGAAGTGAGATGACTGTAGGCTATAAAGTTAATTTGATGGAAGACATAGAAATTTTGAATATTGACAAGTTTTTCAAGATCTCTGACAATAATAGCTATGTTGAGTGCACAAAGTTCATAGAATAAATCTAGTAGGAATAGTTTATGGTAGTGTGATGGGTTCACTAATGGTCAACACCCAGCTGAACTGAATCAGTGTGGTGCTGGATGTGAATGTTCCACCTGAGGATTGTTGCCAACAGCATAAAAGGAGAACTGGAGGGGAACATGGAGTGCTGTTGATTCTCCTGGAGAAGCTTGTCATGCTGGTTTCCTGGTAGGAACTCAGCTGTTTTCATCATCGGAGGAGCTTGGGTCCTCACTGTCACTGGGGATGGCTGCTGTTCTCTTTGAAGTTACTCTTGTCCTTACTTTGAGCATCACTTCCTGGCTCCAGTGCAGATCCCTCAGCCTGAAGGCAGAGATCTTTCATCCTATTGGTGCAGATTTTCTAGCTTCCTCCACTGACTTCTGGGCCTTACCAGTGCAGATGCTTGATACAGACTTTCAGGAGACATTGTTATGGGCTTTAGGCCTCCAGCTGGACTAGTGTGTGGACAGATCTCCCAGACTCTTTTGCACTTGAATCTTTGGGAGAAAATTATAAAATATTCCTAGAAGTTGTGTGTCTTGTATTAAACATATTCCCTTGTAAACCTTGACTACAGTGGATAGCTTAGTTGCTGATACAGTTAAGTTATACAGTTTACAATGCAAAAGCAGGAAGAATAATTGCGTCTACTGTATGGAGAGGTAGGTAATCATCTGTAAATAAAACTGTTTTTAAGAGGTTGTGATGTAACTGTAGCAATCATGTATAACCTTTGTGAGTACTAGGGGAATAATTATGAAACACAACATATTGACAGATTGAAAAATTAGTGCAGCCTGGGATACAGCTCAGTGGCACAAGCACCTGCCTGGCAAGTGCAAGATCCTGAGTTTGATTCCCAGTATAAAAAAAAGAAGAAAGAAAAAGAAAGAGAAAAGAAAACTAATTGTAATTTAAATAAGAAGCAATGAAGACGTAATAAATAGTTATTGGAGTTAATGTAATTGTTTGGGGAAAGTTTTCTCCAGGAGAGATATATTGTTATTGGTTTTATTGGAAGCATCAGAGTTTGCCACAGAATTATGTAAAGCTTTTTAGTTATGGGATGATGTGTACTAAATTTTGATTCATGAAATTGTCTTTAACAAGAAATCAGGAGTCACTCATACTGTAGTGTGGATGGTGGTGGTAGCATGGAATATTTTTAAATTTACCTTTATTAGTCTCTTACCTTTACCCATAATTCGATCCATCGTTTGGAGCCAGGTTTTGAATAAGCTGCTTATATCTTTAGGTAGCAAAATGATGAGAATGAATTGTTAAATATTCATTGGTGCCTCTGTTCACAAACTCAATTCTCTTCACAATTCTAGTTGCAAACCAAACTGGATGAGAGTCAAATCAAATTTCCCCATAGGTCAACCTTGAATCTAACAGTTGAATTAGATTCATTTTTTGTTGTCTATATCATGATCCATTGGCTTCTTTCCACAAAACAATACAAGAAGAAAACACAATCTCTTCTTTCTCTTTAGGATTTGGACTGGGAGTCAGAAAATAATGTGATAATAGTGGTCATGCTATTGAAAGACTGAATTATTATTTAGTACTTAGTATGTGCCAGGTACAATTCTAAGTGCTCTAAATGAACTGTCTCACTGTTAGGAGAGAATTTTTCCCTCAGCCTCTCACATTTTTGCATATTTTGTGAGCTGACTATTCTTTTGAAGCAGAAGATGAGGGGGTTCCAAATAGACAGAGTAGGAGCAAGAAATGGCTTTATTACTGGTGGCTCTGCAAGGGACTCCTGTGACCCTGAGAGCCACAAGTAATGCTTTGCTTTCACCTTTACACTGTTTCTGTTCTATGGGGTAACCTGTCATTGCTGGGTAATGTCAGGCAAGATTGTAGAAGCACAACAGGGATTAGAGGGAGCAGGAATCTCTGGCGGGACTTGCCAGGGCCAATATGCACTTTTGCAAAGTCGTCATGGGTTGCTAGGTAATCAGAACCACAGAAGAGGGCATGGTTTCCTTAGTTTCCTCCCTCATGCCTCCCTTTGATGCCTCATATTGACATCTGCCATCAATGCTTGACTCTAGACAGTTTTCTATTGATTGATATCCTTTAATCCACAAAATCTGGAAGTGTATTTTTCAGTCCACAATGGATGCTACCATGGTGTTGAGGGCTTGCATTATCAGGGGTGGTAGGCAAAGAATAACTAAACAGGCCCCATTTATGGTGATGAACCCTTCCTTTGAAGTCTTGAAGGCCCTTAATGCTGAGACCTACTCCTTCCATAGTTCCTCTGGATTCCATGCCTTCCAGCTCTGGACAGGCATGTGTGCTATCTCTTGCATGCTTTTTGTGATTTTTTTTTTCTATTACCTTGATCTTTCTGC